GCTCTGGCTCTCCCCCCTTTACTAACCACCCCCAAACTTCTTGGAGCGGCTGTTTGTGGCCTCCTGGGGCTCTGGCTTGGGATCACGGCGTGCCAGCGCCATGCCGTGTTTGGGGTCAGGGTGATGCTTCCCGCAGGGTTTTGCTCCTGCCTACGGGTATTGCCCTGGCTGGTTACGGCGCTGCGTGCGGGGAGGGCCCGGCAAGTTTGTGGGTGTGAGAGGGAGCTCCCCTCTTCAGAGACACCTCCGGAGCAGAATACCGGGGCGCTGGGAGGCTGCAGGCTCAGTTGGCCCGCAGGTTGGCCCAGTTCCTCCCACGATTCCCTGGTAGCTGGCGCTGGGATCAGGGACTGGTCGAGGCACCAGACAGGGCTCCACGTGGCTGTTTTAGCATTTACTTCGGATGATGCGATACCTGAGCGTACACACGAAGCAGCCGAGCCCAGCCAGGGCAGAAACGCAGCTGCCCCGAAAAATGAGAGTCCCCGGGTCCGAGGCACCGTGGCTGTGCCGGCAGAGGCACGAGAGCACCTCATGATCCACCGAGGGCAGGCAGTGCCCGGCTCCCTCCGCGTGCTCCTTGCTTGCAGGAGCTGCCCGATTCGGGATGGCTGGGTGAGGCCGCGTTGGTCCCAGGGGAGAGCCCCGTCGGCTGGAGAAGGGCTGACGAGCCGCTGCGTCACTCCAGCTCCCTCTTCTGAAACAGCCTGAGGATGTGATTTTCGATGACCTGTTGGACTAACGGAGGGGAGAGGAGTGAAACCCAGGGACGCCAAGCCTGTAAGAAACCAGCGTGGGCAGGACCTGGTCACTGTTGTGCTCCTGTATTCCAGTGGGAGCCTGGAAAACCCCTTTCTCCAGGGGCTATCCCCACCTCCCCTGTCCCAGCCCTATCTCCAGCAGAGCTCTGGTTTGGAGCAAGGGGAGCAGGACCCACCCTGACTTCTCTGACTCAGTTTCTCTGAGCGGGGAGCTGTGGTGGAAGGTCAAAAAAAGCCTCGAACAAGGCTGGGCAGCTGGGAATTGCCTGGAGGCTTTTTGGGAAGGGAAGGGAAGGCTCCCTGCCAGGCACGGGGTGGGGGAGACGCTTGCCTTTCTTGTGTCCCCGCAAAAAAAACCAGGGGCCAGGGCCAGATCCAGCGGGGTGTAGCCAGAATCCGCCTCCGTCGTCAGGTCGGCACCACGAGCTGCAAGCAGGCAGTGGAGATCAGGGCATGGTGCTCCCCTCCCGATGCGGTGTCCCCGCCGAGTCAGGCACGGGCTGAGGAGACCCCAAAAACATGCCCGTCCTGGCTGGGCAGCCCCCCGTGACACCCCCAGGCTGCTCAGTTTCTCCCCCCAGCGTGTCACGCTCTGTCCCCGAGGCGGGTACCAACGAGCAGCGATTCCAGGCCAAGGACTAAGCGCGGATCTTCCCGTTACCTAGTAGGGCCTCGACACACTTGACGTGATTGCCACGCACGGCGTAGAGCAGAGGGGTGCCGCCATTCTGCAGGGAAAGGGAAGGGGCTGCGTCACTGCCGGCCTCGTGCAGCTCCTGATTCTCCTGGAGCAGTAGGTCCCTGACCCACCGGGACCCCCTTTCCGCCCTCTCCCCGCTCCAGGCCGTGTGTCTTCTCGCAGAGCGGCTCTGCGCAGGTTTTACTCTCCGTACGTGATACCGTGACTTTTCAACCGTGTAACCTTAAAGAGAACCTGAAGTTCTGAGCGCTGGTCCCTTGTGGCTGGGGGGGACAACCCAGGAAACCGTTTAAAATTATTACGCAGGTTGATTCCCTGGAACAACTGCAGGAGCAGGCAAACGAGCGCTGCGAGCCTGGGGAGCATCTAGGAGCCGCCTGCGCCCCTCGGCACTCACCCAGTCGTAGATGTTGATGTCCACGTTCCTCTCCAGCAGCATGACCACGATGTCGGTGTAGCCACCCATGCTGGCCAGGGACAGGGCGCTCTCCCGCTCCTTCGCCAGCGCATGGGGGTCAGCGCCCTGGGGACAGCACAGGCGTCAGTCCGGACGGGCGAAGGGGCCCTGCTGAGACCTGGGGCGCTCGGCACAGCCTTGCTGGGTACCCCAGGGGGAATGATTCCGGCGCAAGGTTCCGACGGCCCCATGGGGCAGAGGCAGCTCACGCATTCCCAGTGACCTCTCCTTCCCGAAGTCCTTACTGGGCATATTTTCATCATCATCAAACATCTCAGGTGACGCCCTTCTCCAGCGTCTGTAAACTCAGCCTGACGGTTCCTATTACTCAGCCCTTTTTCCCATCACGAGTAACAGCGTTCCGGCCCTGTCTAGATGCCTGTACTGTACCATCTCCTTCGTTACTGATTTACACAGAAAACCTTCTTCTGCTCCGAGCCCTGCCACCCCCAGACCTCTCCTGCACTTCGTTATATCCTTTATCAACGTCTCGCCTCGTTTACTCCGGGTTCTGCTTGTCTCTCTGGTAATTCACTGCAGTTCTGCTGCTAATGCAGTAACAGAGTTTGGCCAGTGCTTATGAGGTGTGACTGCTCGCTAATCGTTGGAGACACACGGATGTGGATGGAGCTTTGGGGAGCAGCTTGATCCAGAGTTTAAGAGGATCTGGTTCCTGCTCACCCCCAGACAGTCCTCAGCTGCCAGCCCGGCACTCGCGGACGACGCAGCCATGAGTTCATTAACTGCAACGATACCTCGGCGAGCGCATTCGCGGGCAGATTACAGGGCCCAAGTGATAAGCCTGATCTCAAATTACCAATAAGCAGATATTTAATTACAAACAGTTATTGCTAGCTGTGAGATAAGGCTCTTCATGCTCCTGCCTTAGCTCACAGCCCAGCGGGGAGCAGCATCCGACAGCGCCTGAGCCGTCAGCTGTTTGGCGCTGGGGAAAGGCTGGCTGAGACACTACCAGGACGGTGCTGGACAATTTGGCAGCCACTGGGGCTGGAGGTGGGAATTCTCCTGTTAAGCGGGTGCTGCATGAGCGTGGCCTTACCCATTCCAGCAGGTGACGGACCGTTTCGATCTCTCCAAAGGCTGCAGCCCAGATCAGCGGTGTGAAACCTCTCTCATCGGGTTTATTCACCAAGTTCTCGCCTGCACAAACACAGATGAGACACTGTAAACAGGAAGGGTAAAGCCCCCGCTGCTCCCCGTCCGCCCAGTAAATCCAACGAAGGCCATAAATCTAAGGCAGGGGGTTATCAAACGGCACGCTACCATCTGGGGTGAGGACCCAGAGAGACATGTACCTCTCCGAAGGTGCTCCTTCAGCTGGCTGAGCTCTCCTTGGGCAGCAAGCTGGTGGATGGACAGCGCTAGGGGACAGAAAGACTTCACCCATAGACAAACTTCCCCCAGCTCAGCACCCACCATCTGCAGGGGGTCCCTGGAAGTCTGGGGCAGTGGTGACTGGAGAGCCCCTGCCCAAGCCCCAAAAACCCGATGGGTAACCAACACTCTTCTGCCAAACAACATCAGGGAGCAACAGGACTGCAGGGAGAAGCCTGAGAGACCCCCCCAGAGCACAGTGAACAGACGGAGATGGAGGGAGGTTGCCATCCCGCTGCCCCTTCGCTCTCTCTGCACCCAGCTGCGGTCCGAGATGCGCAGCGTCTGCCCGGCGGTACTCACTGTCCAGCGTGGCTGGGAGGGCCGAGACCTCGTTGCCGCGCTGCCTGTTCGTCAGCGTGTTCGAGTGCTTCAGCGGGAAGCCTGTTCCAGAGAAAGGAGGGAGTCAGGGCACATCTCCTCCACACACAGAGAGGAACTGCACTGCCTGGAGGCCAAGAGCCTCACGAAAGCTCAGGTCTCATGTGCCTTATGTGAAGCTGTTCCCTTCTGTCCCTGGCAAAGAAAAGGAATTACTGCAAAATAAAGGGAATTACTCCCTTGCAGGTAAAGAGCCTGGAGACTGAGGTTTGACCAGTGCTCAGGAACCAACAGCTGAGCAAGGGTGGTAAAACAGCCCGAAGAGCTGCCCAAGGCGGGGCAGGGTCCATCTGGGACACTGCGGAAGGCAGGGACCTGGCATTAATGGTGTCATGGCACAGGCTACGCTGCAGAGGACAGCCTGGGGGAACACGCTCGAGTTCAGCCTCCTATTTCCTACCCCTGAAGAGCTCCACTCAGGAATTTCAATGTGTTTTCAACAAGCAATTAGTAGTTTAATTAGGAAAGTATATGGAAAGAGTTTGCCATTTCTGGTTTCCCAGCGTGGAGCTGCAGTGACCTCTCACTGCTGGCATGAGCCATCCAGAAAGGCCTGGATTTGGACTTGGCCTTGCCATGTCATGGGAGGGACTGGCAGTGGTATAAGACTTATTTCCAGCTGCCCTCGTAGGAGGAAAGACCCAGGCGACCTTCCCACGCCTGTCTCCCCTGGGGCTGCGCCTGAGCATCTGTGAGATGCTGCAACACTCACTGTCAAGGGCCGGGAGCTCGGTGCTCCTCTGCCTCTCCATCGAGGCACTCGAGGGCTTCGGGGCAGCGTCTGCTCCTCCTACAAAACAAGGGCGGCCGTTAGGGACCTGGGTTCCACTTGGTGGGGAGCAGGCTGGGCTCCCCACACAGCACAGCGAGACCCAACCGGCACGGCACGCACCCCACGTGCACCCCAACCCCGG